TCTGTAAAAATGAAGTGGCATGTGATAAAGATTTAGTTATTATAGTCATACAATTCTGGAATAATAAATTACCAAGCATAAAAAATATTTATTAATACTAAATATTTATTTTTAATATTTAGAGACTGAGTGGGCTTTCTACTAAAAATACAGAACTTGCCATTGTTCAGATATACTTCCTATTTTCTTTCAAATGATTGAGGTCACATAAGAGAGATTTTTTAAGATTGAACCAACAAAAAATCGAGTACAACATATATTTTTGTTTTGATACGCTGTATTCATATGATAAATCTATATTTATTTTTTAAAGTTTAGAATGAGAATAAAAGGGGTGCAGGTTGGTGGCATTTAAATTTCTCTTTACTTTGTGGCATGGGTGCACATTAAATAGCATGGAACAAAAAGTCCTAGTTACAAGTAGGAACAAGAGTGGTAGATGATTTTTGGCTCTATCTCCTGGTCATTGTTTCAAAATGAGACAGAGCTGGGCACCTATAATGTCATTAAAAATGTGCCCAAGGTTTAAACTAATGACAGACACAACCAAGTGCACTCTTGGTCACAATGATTTCATGGACTGATGTTACTGTCAGAGGAGTCTGTGATTTGTTTTGAATTTAACTAAATAGAAAGTTACTATATGTTATTAATTGCTTAAACATTCAATTAACTTATTATTATATGATCAATTAGTTAAATGATTTTTCCTTCCATCGTATGAATAATTTTATATTCTGAAGCTGTCATTTTAATATACATATAGTACATATAAAAACTATAAATTTGTTCACTATTTTATAATGTAATGGATAAATTAATAAGCTTAACAATTGTAATCTAATGTGCTTTCGGCTGTTGTAAAAAGTGTCTTCCAACTTAACTAGAGCAATTAAAATAATGGCGATATCTTAAGTATATTTCAATATAAGAAATATGAGGTACTGAATATCATGAAGAGTAATAAAACATATTGCCCATTAGGTAGAACAATTCCTACGCTTAGATACGTGCTTATGAGACTACCTTTATCGTCAATATTTTGATGATATTTACTAACAGTGAACTCTGTGAATGTATAGCAAAATAAAAATTTTATTATATTATTAATTGTTATTTTGCCAGCATGAAAGCAGTTGATGAACACTTCTTTCACTAATTGGGCGTGAACAATTCCACACTTCATGAACACCACATCGATGTGTATGCCGAAATGAAACTTTAATCAAAGTGCACAGATTCTTTGCAACATACTAATCATGACATCTCATATACTTATTATTTTTTTTTAAGTTCTGACATGTAAAGCAGCTAAGCATTCTTTATTTCTAAAACTAGTCTCTTTCTTATTTAGACTTGCATGTTGATACACATAATCCTTCTTAAAAATAAACTTTGCTCTTTCCAATTTGCATTGTTTTGTTTTGGAAGAAATAATCCAATGCACATGGGAAACAGCTTCAAAATGTATTTTCCAATTTTCCCATCTATCTTCAGTATTAAGATCGCATCTAATCTCGCAGTCGAAATCCTCTTTGCCTCCGAACTTAGAAAACACTACTTCGTAGGAACATCCATCAAATAAAATTTTATAAAATTCATTTTCCACTTCGTTTGACATACTTGCAGCCATCACAAATTTGCAACATAAACCGACAAAATTACTTTCCTTTTGCGCATGCGCTTGGTGTCATAATTTCGCCAAGACCTGATAAATCTCCAAATTTAGTTGCAAGTTGCATTTCCTAGGGAGAAAGTAAAAATACACTTCCCGTTCTGCATTTTATAGTAAATGATTTAACTACAGCATTACTTGCTACTATTAAAAGATTTATTGCTAGACGTGGAAAATGTAATACCATAATGTCAGATAATGGTACTAATATGGTTGGTGCAAAACCAGAACTGAAAAAATTGCATAGCTTAGACCTTAAATCTAATTCTGATATAGTAGATTTCTTAACATCTGCAGGTATAAACTGGAAACTGATTCTACCTAGAGCACCAAATTTTGGTGGTTTATGGGATGCAGATATTAAGTCATTTAAATATCATCTTCAGTGTAGAATCAGCAGTTACAAATTGACTTTAGAAGAATTTTGGTCTGTTGTCACACAAATTGAAGGTATTCTCAATTCTTGTCCAATTTTATCTTTATCAACAGATGTGAATGATTTTAAAGCCTTAATGCTGGGTCATTTTTTAATTCGATGTTCCATTACTTCTTACTCTGAACCAGATTTATCTCATCTTACAGATAATAAAACTTTTCTAAATGTCAGATTGTTTCTAAGTTCATTTAACTTATTTAGAAATGTTGCCAAACATTATTTTTACATCATCTCCAACAATGCCCCAAATGGTTTATTAATAAAGAAAATTTAAAGGCAGGTATGTTAGTTGTGTTAAAGGAAGATAATCTTTCCCCCTTTAAATGGTCTTTAGCTAGAATTGTAGAAGTTTTACCTGGTAAAGATAATAAAACCAAAGTTGTAAAACTGAAAACATCAAATGGTGTATATATTCGATGTTAAATATGTTTATTACCTATCCAGCATAACAATGTTTAGCTTTATATTATTGTGTTCTTATTGGAAATTGTGCTTTATATTAAAATGAAACTGTTTTAAAGAGTAGATTGCAACATAGTGAATTAGTTTATGTTCTTTAAAATGTTATATTATATTCAGGATGAAAAAATATCTATTAGCTTTCATATTTGTACTGTAGAATTAGTTGTTCTTGAATTTGTTAAAATGTATGTTTATAATTTACGTACTGAAATTTGGAATTTCAATGGGCAGCGGCATGTTAGAATACAGCGCCACCTATTATTGTATATAGAAAAAAACACTCATTAGGCCCCCTGATTCAGCTAAGCAACATGCCAGAGCATGTACTAGTACTGAATGTAGTTAATTACTGTTAATAAAACAGTTAGTTTACTATTTATACAGTCCACTCATTAGTTTTAGAATTATAGAATCATAGTACAGCAGCTATATTGCTTGGAAAGGGAGTAGTGTAACCTCTATAAACCATACATCATCTCTTTGTTTCTACAACTTTATGCAACTACAAATGGCAATGATAAATAAAGAATATGATTAAAATAATTGTGGCTTGAATTCAACTTTTGACTGTTTGTACAACTTTGACAACTTGCTTGGCATTAGTTTTTGTCTGTTTTATATTGTTGTTACTTAATGTCATACTAACCCCTTATTTATTTATTTTTTACGTGATATCGTACTAACCCCTTATTTACTTGTTAGTTCTTTATTGTTGTGTAATGTGATGTTTTTATAGCTTTGTAACCTTGATTTACTATTGTATAAAATGTATTTGTTCTTATGGTTGGTTTGTTTTTTGTGTGTAGCGTAACATGGGCGCAGCCCCTTTGTGTCATAAGACGAGCTTAGCTTGTCAGGTGGGCCGGACAATGTCCTAAATAAACAATTAAATTATTAAAATAATAATGTTTTAAAAGATCGATGTCTTAAGAAGTAATAAATAATTTTCTTTAAAAAATAGTAGCGAAAAGTTATTCTTAAAACAATAAATAACGTTTTTGTGATGTAGCAACTGCTACAAAGGTACTCTAATTGGAAAAAAGTACCTAACATTGCTTGGTGATTCAATTTTCCCTGCCATTTGTGTAATGAATGGCAATGACAGGTTTTATTACCAAGAAGATGGCCCCTCCACACTATCATAGGGATGTGCAAGAATACCTGGTTCAAAATGTACCAGGCCAGTGGATTGGATGCAGGGGTCCAATTGAGTTTCCTGCCTGCTCTTCAGACATTACGGCACTCGGTCTTATGGGGCATAGTAATAGCCTAAGTGTACTGTTGTAAACCACATAACCTTGACATAGTTCGGAATGAGATTTAAGCGAGGTGCGCAAAAATCCTGTTGGACATTTTAGTGCAAGTACAAAATCAGTCGTGACTCGAACTCAAAAGTGTGTCGATGCTGAAAAAGCCACCATTTCGAACATTTATTTTATCCACCATTTGGAATATTCACTTTGACCAGAAAATATACTTATTTTTTCAAATTGGACTGCAGCCTTACTTTTCATAGAAATTTAACCTTGTAGGTTGGAAAATAAATTTTCTACAACATTTCAAATTGTATATATATTTTTCCGATGCACTCTGTATAAATTTTGTGCAATCATTATTATAAATCAACTCTCAATACTCAAAGAAGTTTTGATTCTAGTTACAGTTACATAAATTTAAGCCTATAAAGTTATGCAAACCTTTTCAATTATAATACATACAGTACTACTTTATTCTATATTAATTTATAGGAAAAGAGGCAAACCTCTGAGCCTAAAAAATCCTAGGGAAGATTAATTTGCTTGCAAATGAAATACCTCATAATTTTAACTGAAGATTAATAGAAATACAAATTTCATTAAATAATTTATATAGCAAGCTATTTTTCCCTTAAAAATTTATATATTAATATAAACATTTCTGTAATTTTTTCAAATATATCATGTGAAATTCTATTTTATTTATTTATTTATTTATTATTTTTTAATGAAAAGTCATCTCTATAACAGCAGAATATACTTAAACTTTCCTTAATCAAAAATGCCCAACATTGTTTTTGATATGTTGAATAACTACTACTGAATGCACAACATTTATTGACTGCATAATAATTAATAACATTTAAGTTAAATATTTAGAAAAGTTATGCCAAAAGAAAAGTGGAAGTAAACTAATTTTCAAAAGATGCAAGAATTAATTTTCATTTATAAAGGCATCATCTCTTGCAAACTTTCATTTGCTACCCTCATAACAGAGGTTATGTTATTCTTGAAATAGCATAATTCAGTTTACATTTTTTCCATATTCATTTTTGAGCCATCATACTATGTCTTACTGCATTAAATACTGTTTGAAAGCTTAGATTAAGCTGAATAACTTTTAAAAATCATATTAAACATGAACCATACAAAGCTACGAAAACAAACTCACGGATGGCAATGTCCAACGCTAATAGTAACAATTCCACCAAACATATCTAAATATCTTTTTCCTTTATCATCCCATACCCACTGCATGTGACCTTGAGTTATCATGATGGGATTCTTATACAACAGAGGAAAACAATTGCTGATATTCTTTTTCCTGATATTCATAGCTTCATCATAACTAATTCCCTACAAAGAAAGATAAAATACATATTAAATGGAATTAAATTATTATACATCAAATTACATATAACAAGAAAGCAGAAGCATAAAAGGGAAAAGTAAAAGCACTGATTTAAGTACTCCTTGAGCACATAAAATACTAATTCAAGCAGTTAAACACAGATGAGAATAATAATCTGAATGAATTAACATTAGTACTGCTTAAGTAATTGAAATATTTTTTTTAGTTAGGTACACATGTGAATAATTTATTTACATAAAAATTAAAAATAAAAATTGGATTGTAATTCTTATACAATGCATTATTTTGTTTTGAAATAAGAAATGCTACTGAGAATAAAATCAGAAATAAAATTATTTAAAGAAACGGTACTAAATTTCAACGTATCTGATTACACTGCATGACTGCAACTATCTTTTGTATGAATTTCAGCTTTTGATTAATATTGGGTTCAAATTATGCAAGTACTGAAATCACTATAATTAGTAAAAATTTTGCAGGATTTATAAACTTTGCAATACACTAACAGGTAAAATTTAAATATGATGTTAAAACAGAGCATCTATATTATTTCACAGATTTACAATCATAACTATAAACAATTTGTTTTAACAAGACAAAAGGCTTTGGTAATTTTTGCATACAGTAAGCAGTTTTTCTAAGATGACCACCCAAAGGTCCAGACGATTTTAAACGATAGAATTAAATTTCATGACAATTGCAGCCACGTTAAAGAATCCAGGAATTTTAAGAGCTGCAACTAGATTCTCAGAGCATCACAATTATGTATGCACATCATTTTTAAATATAAACAGATTGTCATGAAAAGAAACCCAAGAAAGGATATGCAAGAATTTCATATTTTTTATGTAATTAACATGACTCTCTCTCTCTGTATATATATATATACAGAACAAAGTCCAAAATCCGGACTCATCGGGACTTCGGCAGTTCCGGATTTGGGATTTTTCCAGATATTAGATTATCAGTTTAAATCTAGTAATATGGCATGTAGACATTATAAAATTAAAAATATGAAATCGTGATTTATGAAATAATGAAGTACATATTTATGATCTAAAGGGTATCAAGATTTACAAAAAAAAAAAAAAAAAAAAAAAAGCTTAATATTTATTTGTTTACCTTATTAAACATTTCTTTCAATGCAAGTTGCTTCGTTTTTTTGTGCTAATACTTTCTCTTTAATTTTGTAGACAGACATAATCTCTTGTTTAGTTACATTGTTGAAGTCCTGTAACTGCAATTTTCGAGAATTCCGACTAACTGCCAATCGAAATTTTCTTGTTTTTCAGTAACTTCTCTGTCACTTTCTTAACTATCGGTAGCATTTTTTTCTGGATCTAGAACCATTCTACAGCTTTCGCCATTCATTAATTGATTGATGATTGAGAAGCATTGTCATCACAATGAAAAACTTCTTTTATATCACCTTCATTAATTACTGCTTCTCTACATTTCCTTACAAAATTAGTTAATTGGAAAATTTCACCTTTGTTTTGCGATATCCGAAAATCTTTAAAATTAGCGGCTATCATCATCAAATTAGCTATCCTTCACTGTACATATTTGGCTATGCATCATAAGCTTGGTGACTAACGACAAGTTGTTCCGTTAAATTTTATCTTGCGTCTATCGCGCAATGAGACAATTAAGCCTGAATTGTATGTTATTTATTATACTTATGTCTATTTCTTGCACATGCTTAAGGCTTATCAGAGTTCTGAGGTCTTCAGAGTTCTGAATAAATAAATTCCCACATATACTTAAGCCTTATTGAGGGCCAGCGTTAGATATCTTACCGCCTGATGCATTCTCTGTGGGTCCTATACTCTGCGACTCGTTGCGGCCATACAAGCCCTGGCGCTGTTTCTTCTTTGTGGATCTATGTGGTTTATGTGAATGACAAATCAGTTATTTTTAATTCAAATAGCCCTAAATGTAATCTTTGGGTCTATGAGTATCATAAGCAAAATCTATTTTTAGCATATGGAAGAAAATTTTAGTAAATTTTTCCTTATTAAAATTAACATTTTTTAGCACATTTAACTTAAATCTGTAATCATTGCCAAGTGTAATGTCAACATAAAAGGTTACCATATTCCTTTATTTATTCAATTACTAACATAAAAAAAAATTGTTTAGGCATTGCTACACGAGTCATTACTCAAGTTGTCATGTTTTGATAAACATGCGGTGGTGAAAGGAAAATATAATTAAAATGATTCGTCAGGTTGGTGACAGATCAATGATGTATCTATGTGGAATGTTTCAGTTTGAGATGTATGCCAAGCAGATACGCAGCAACAGAGCCAAATTACTGATCATACAAATTTATGCTAAAATGACTGTTTCTTCAACAACAAGGTATTTTATTCAGTGTCGAAGTGAAATTAAGAGTCGGAACTCTCCAGATGTATTACTATGGGTGGAGGGGAGAATCAAATGCACATGCGTAAAGCCTAAGAGAAAAACATTATTGGTGGTTTTGAGGTCCAGATTTTAGACCATTCCGGATAATGGACATCCGGATTTCTGACTTTGTACTGTATATTAGGGGTGTTCAAATGAAAAGGTATGAAACGACACTATAGATATGCTACAGTCCTTATTCACAAGTAATCACCGGAGCACAATTATCCCACTGTTTCACAAGCCGAAGGATTCTGTCTTCCCAGAATTCCTGTAGCTGTTACAGGAGCCAGTCCTCCACTGTGCCCATCAGCTCATCGTCCAAGTTCCCTTTGCGATGTCACTTCTCAACAAGTCGTTCACTTTGTCGATGAGTTCAACCATGATTGCTGTTTTTACCTGGCCTAGTCTCAGGTCATCACTCAAACACTTCAAACCTTCCCGAAAACTGGCACTCCACTTTCTCCCTGACATGTTGGACACAATCTCCTCCATATATGGCCACCATCCAGCAATGAATATCACTCAGTTTAATCCCTTCCACAGTCAGAAATCTGATAACATCTTGCTGCTTCTCATTTATCAAATTTTGCAATGTGAATGCCAAGATGTCATCACATGCACTGCCGCATCAATTGCATTGAACACACAATTGCCTGCTTCACTCCGGCATCATGTGCAAGAACTTGCATATGCACACAACCACATCGGACACTACTTTCGCATCCTTACATGTGTCACTCACTACCTTATGCCAAAGCAATATATTCAAATTCAACCAGTCTGGTTGTTATGATGTTTCGTACCTTTTCATTTGAACACCCCTTATACATATATAATTATAGACAAAAAGTAAGAAATTTAGAACCAAGAAATTCAATACCAATAAAATCCAAAATTCCCATAAATACATAAAAAATCAAACCGTTGTCACCAAACCAGAATTGGCATAAACTACAGATATGTGAAATACAAAAGTTATAAAAAATATATAGGAAGAGAAATGCAAACATATTCTAATTCAGCGTTATCAAAAGGAAGTAAATCAGATTCAATAGATTCTGAACCCAAGAAAACCACTGCGTTTTTGTTCATCCAAAACTAGTTGAAGAACCATTATAAATTATTTAATTGTAAAAGTTCACAAGAAAAATCCTATATGCCTCCTTTATGCAGAGGAATCTGGTAAATGAAATGAAATGAAAATATAAAAAACAAATCCATATGTAGTAAATTCAATGTCCAATAAAGTAAAATAAAAAATAATTAAATATATTTTACTGAAATTAAACACAAATAAAATATAATAATATTAAATATACATAGAAATTAACAGAGAGTATTCAGAAAGCAAACAAAGAACAAAAGACCAAAATTCAAAAGTAGATGCCCATGGCTGCCAGAAGCATAGAGTAAGAAAATGGAAAAAAGAATAAAATTTTCACATCATAGGCTTATCAAGATGACTAGAAAAGAATAGGCCCTCTGTTAATAAAAGTAAAGTTAAGAAAAATTGTACAGTAATACAAATACATAAATTATACTATAAAATCTCTTAAAACATCCGTCTTTCTATTTGAGCTATCAGATAAAAAATTCATTACTTTAAAAAATTTTACAGTGTGTAGACCACTCTAGCTTTTTTAAGTAAACTGTTTATGCAGTTAATTAAAACTTCATTAACTTCTAAATTTTTAGTAGGGAAAAGAAATTCTTGCTGCTGTTGTTCAATTTATGCGCATACTTTTTTAATTTTGGTGTGACGATTAAAAATTGCAATTGCTATAACATTTTTAGCAATGTTGGTATTCCAGTTTATAACCTTAGTTGCAAAAAAATTTATTTCTCTTCTTCTATTAAATAGTCTTGCTCTTGCTTCTTTAAGATTATAAATGCTAAGATCCAGATAATCTACAATTAATTATTTTTTTTATTGGTCTTGTGAAATTTTAAACAGTGAGAGATTCAAATTTGCCATCGTCAATTTGTTTTGCCAGCGATGGTGTCCACTTTTGAATTTCAGTGTTCCGTGCTTCATTTGCTCAATGGTAGATTCTGAATTAAGTTTTCTGTTAATTATTATTTATATTCTGTATTATTTCTGTGTAAGTTTTAATTTATGTATATTTTGTATTATTTCTGGGTATATTTTGTGCAATTTTTTTGTATATTCTGTATTTATTTTATTTGTATTTAATTTCAGTAAAATATGTCTAAATATTTACTTAGTCTTTTACTTCATTGGACACGGAATGTATTACATACAGATTTGTTTTTGTATATTTTCATTTCATTACGGATTCCTCTTCATAGAGGAGGCATTCAGGATTTTTCAGGTGAACTGTTACAAATAAATAATTTGAAATGGTTTATCAGCTAATTTTGGATGAACAGAAAAGCAGTGGTTTTGAATCTGATCTACCTCCTCTTGGTAATACTGAATCAGAATTTGACTGCCTTCCTCTTCCCATATATTATTTTAATTTTTGTATTTCATATATATGCGTAGTTTGTGGCAATTCTTCTGGTTTGGTGACAATAGGTTGACTTTTTACATATTTGTGGGAGTTTTGGA